CTATATCTTGCAGCTATCCTGTGAGAAAACTTAGAGTAGATAAATCCATTCATTCATTTGTTCATTAAACAAGTATTTATTGACCATCTATGTTGTCTCAGGCACTATTCTAGACATTGGGGATATAAAGTCCTCTCTACATGGAATTCTAAAGGAGAGAAGGGCGGTATACATAAAGAAAGATCAGAGAGTGATAGGGTAAAGAATATGCAATTAGCTAATGGCGGTGTGGAGCACTCTATATGTGGTCAAGGAAGGCGTCTCTGTGGGACTGACAATTAAGATCAGACCTGGGTGATGAAAAGGAGCTGGCTAGCTGGGTGTAGTGGCACACGCCTCTAATCCCAGTAATTTAGGAGGCTAAGGCAAGAGGATCTTGAGTTCAAAGTCAGCCTCAGCAATTTAATGAGGCCTCAAGCAACTTAGTGAGACCCTGTCTCAAAATAAAAAATAAAAAGGGCTAGGGATGTGGCTCAGTGGTTATGAGCCCTTAGGTTAAATCTCTAGTATGACATGATTCTATATTTAGAGGATCTCAAAAATTCCACCAGAAAACTTCTAGAATTAATAAAATCAGCAAAGTAGCAAAATATAAAATTAATACCCATAAATCAAATGCATTTCTATACATCAGTGATGAACCCTCTGAAAGAGAAATTAGGAAAACTGCCCCATTCACAATAGCCTCAAAAAAAAAAAAAAAAAAAAAAAAAAAAAAACCTTGGGAATCAATCTAACAAAAGAGGTGAAAGACCTCTACAATGAAAACTATAGAACATTAAAAAAAGAAATTGAAGAAGACTTTAGAAGATGAACGATCTCCCATGTTCTTGGTTATGAAGAATTAATACTGTGAAAATGTCTATACTACCAAAAGCATTATACAAATTTAATGCAATTCCAATTAAAATCCCAACAACATTTCTCATAGAAATAGAAATCATGAAATTCATTTGGAATAATAAGAGACCCAGAATAGCCAAAGCAATCCTTACCAAGAAGAGCAAAGCAGGAGACATCACAGTACCAGACCTTAAACTATACTACACAGCCACAGTAACAAAAATGGCATGGTATTGGCACCAAAATAGACATATAGACCAGTGGCATAGAATAGAAGAAACAGAGACAAACCCACATAAATACAGTTATCTCATACCAGACCAATGTGCCAAAAACATACATTAAAGATAGAACCTTTTCGACAAATAGTGTTGGGAGAACTGGAAATCCATATGCAGCAAAATGAAATTAAATCCCTATCTCTCACCATGCACAAAAACTCAACTCAAAGTGGATCAAGGACCTATGAATTAGGTCAGAGACCCTGTACCTATTAGAAGAAAAAGTAGCCCAAATCTTCATCATGTTGGATTAGGTCCTGACTTCTTTAACAAGACTCCTACAGCATAAGAAATCAAGAATCAATAAATGGGATGGATTCAAACTAACAAGTTTCTTTTCAGCAAAGGAAACAATAATGTGAAGAGAGAGCCTACAGAGTGGGAGAAAATCTTTTCTATACGTACCTCAGAGAGAGCACTAATCCCAGGATATATAAAGAACTCAAAAGACCTAACACCAAAACAAAACAAAACAAAACAAAAAAAAACAACCCAATAACAAATGGGGTAAAGAACTGAACAGAACTTCTCAGAAGAAGTCGATCAACAAATATATGAAAAAATGTTCAATATCTCTAGTAATTAGAGAAATGCAAATCAAAACTACTCTAAGGGGAGCAGGGATTGTGGCTCAGTGAGAGTGCTTACCTAGCATCTGTGAGGCACTGGGTTCAATTCTCAGCACCACATATAAATAAATACAATAAAGGTGCATCAACAACTAAATTTTTTTTTTCATAAAAAAACTAAGATTTCATCTCACCCCACTCAGAATGGCAACTATCAAGAATACAAACAACAGTAAATGTTGGCGAGGATGTGGGTGAAAAGGTACACTGATACAGCTCTGGTGGGACTGCAAATTGGTGCAACTACTCTGGAAATCAGTCTGGAGATGGAGATTCCTTAGAAAACGTGGAATGAAACCATCAGTTGACTCAGCTATCCCACTCCTTAATCTATACCCAAAGGATTTAACATTGGCATAATACAGTAATAACTGTGGAACTAACTTAGAAGCCCTTCAATAGATGAATGAATAAAGAAACTGGTATATATATATATACAATGGAATATCACTCAGCATTAAAAGAGAATAAAATTATGGCATTTGCAGGAAAATGGATGGAGTTGGAGAATATCAAGCTAAGCAAAGTAAGCCAATCTCCCCAAACAAAAGGCTAAATGTTTTCTCTGATAAGTGGATGCTGATCCATAATGGGAAGTGGGGGGGCGTGGGAAGAATGGAAGAACTTTGGCTAGGGCAAAGGGGAGTGTGGGGAGGGGAGCGGGAGTGGGAAAGATTGTGGAATGAGATGGACATCATTACCCTAGGTACATGTATGATTTTACTCAACATCATGTGCAACTAGAGAAATGAAAAGTTGTGTTCCATCTGTGTACAGTGAATCGGAATTCGTTCTACTGTCATATATAACTAATTAGAACAAATAAAAAAATATTTAAGCCAGGCATGGTGGTGCATACCTGTAATCTCAGCAGCTCGGCAGGCTGAAACAGGAGGATTGTGAGTTCAA